AGTTGGTTGGGCCTTTCTGCATAGCATCGCTCTTACTGCTTTGCAATATAATTGTCTGTATGTCTGCAGCGCCACACCCCCACCCTGGCTTCTTAAGGACAGAGCCTCGTTACACGTTTGTTGTAGGGCTTTCATCTTTGTTTCCTTAGAGCTTGCGACACTGAGGACTGCAGGTGCCGCTTGTCTCCTAAGTGCAGCGTGAACACTTATTTTTTTGTGATGGGTTGAAGACGAAATGGGATAACTGGTTAAATTTCCCAGATGCTAGCCGGCGCCGTGGCTCACTAGGCTAATCCTCCACCTTGCGGCGCTGGCACACCGGGTTCTAGTCCCGGTTGGGGCGCCGGATTCTGTCCCGGTTGCCCCTCTTCCAGGCCAGCTCTCTGCTGTGGCCCGGGAGTGCAGTGGAGGATGGCCCAAGTGCTTGGGCCCTGCACCCCATGGGAGACCAGGAAAAGCACCTGGATCCTGGCTCCTGCCATCAGATCGGTGCGCCGGCTGCAGCGGCGGCCATTGGAGGGTGAACCAACGGCAAAGGAAGACCTTTCTCTCTCTGTCTCTCTCTCACTGTCCACTCTGCCTGTCAAAAAAAAAAAAAAAATTTCCCAGATGCTCTTCAACAAACAAAAGTGGAAATTAGGTAGTAGAGTGATAGGGAGTGAAGAGTTTGCTTCATTTGGATGTTACAAAATATTGATTGGTGGATTGGTAGAGGAGAGTGAGGAGTGGAAGCCAAGTTAAGGAAAAAAAAAAATCAATGGATTTTTTGTTTGTTTGTTTTGTGCAGAGTTTACCCCTCAATCCCAAACCTTTCCTCAATGGATTAACAGGGAAGCCCGTGATGGTGAAACTCAAGTGGGGAATGGAGTACAAGGGCTACCTGGTGTCTGTAGACGGCTATATGAACATGCAGGTAAGCTAGAGGTGAAAGGGTGGTGACACTGTGTTTCTTCTGTTCCACTTTATTCCTCCAAGGTTTCGTGTGACTAATAATTCATACAGTTGGCAAAGATAGAACAAAATTCAGGAATGAAGTCAAGGCCAGGGAGGATGTTACAACTGATAGACTAGGTACAAGACACGGGGTTAGGCCAGGATTCACAGACCTTACTCGTGGTGGGTAAAGTGAGGAGGACTCAGGCATTTGATTATTCATATAATAAGGGAAATACATGAGTTGCTTTCAAAAGCAAACCTTTTTCCAGCGCTTAAATCTGATATTTTTCAAGTGAAATTCTTGTCTCTTAATGAATGCTAAAGGCACAACATTAATGTAATCAACTAGAAGCATTTCTTCAGAGGGAAGACAGATTAGCTGAAAGAATTGATGAACTATGTTGGTTAAACTAGTTGTAAATGATTTTGCCAGTGAGGGGGGGGATTTGGTGTGAATTTTTTTATTGTGATAAAATATACATAAAAATTTGGCCACTTTAACCATTTTTAAAGATGTCACTCAGTAATAGTATGTGAGAACATTGTTTTGCAGCTACCACTAGTACCCAATTTCAGAACTTTTTCATTATCCTAAAGTGGAACTCTGTACCCATTAAGCAGTAACACCCCCGTACCCCAGATTCTAGCTGTTGGTAACCACTTTTCTACTTTGTGAATTTAATCATTTTGGGAAGAATCATATAGTCAGTACCAAACATATACAGGCCTTTGTTTCTTGTCATTTCCTAAACAAGACATTATAGCATTTTTACATAGCATTTACATTGTAGTAGGGAACATAAGTAATCTAGGCATGATTTAACGTATATGAGAGCATGTGCATAGTTCATATGTAGGTACTGTGCTCTTTTACAGAGAGGGACTTAAGCACCCTCAGATTTTGGTATCCTTGGTCACAGGGAGCAGAGAGGGTGTTCGGAAACCAATCTCCCAGATTCCAAGGGATGATTGTATCTTTTTGTGTTTGGCTTGTTTCACTTAGCACAGTGTACTCAGGGGTCACCCATGTCGTACAGCCATGTGTCAGATTTCATGCCTTTTATGACTGAGAAAGACTCCATTGTATGGATGTGCCACACTAACCCATTCACCTCCTGTGGACACTTAGATTGCGTCTTCCTTTTGGCTACTGTAAATGATGTTACTATGAACATGGGTGTATATTCGAGTCCCTGCTGTCAGAAGTGGGATTGCTGGGTCATATGGCAGTTCTGTGTTTGAGGACCTGCCACACTGTTTTCTATATAGCAGCTTTGGTTTTGCATTTCCCCCAGCAAGTATAAAGGTTCCAGTGGGGTCGAATTAGTATCTCATTGTGGATTTGATTTGGATTTCTTTATTTATTTTTATTTTTGACAGGCAGAGTGGACAGTGAGAGAGACAGAAAAGTCTTCCTTTGCCATTGGTTCACCCTCCAATGGCCACCGCGGCCGGCGCGCTGCGGCCGGCGCACCGCGCTGATCCGATGGCAGGAGCCAGGTACTTATCCTGGTCTCCCATGGGGTGCAGGGCCCAAGCACTTGGGCCATCCTCCATTGCACTCCCTGGCCATAGCAGAGAGCTGGCCTGGAAGAGGGGCAACCGGGACAGAATCCGGTGCCCCGACCGGGACTAGAATCTGGTGTGTCGGCGCCGCAAGGCAGAGGATTAGCCTATTGAGCCATGGCACCGGCGATTTGGATTTCTGTTAATGATGTTGAGGGCCATTTCATTTGCTTATTGGCCATTTATGGGTTTTGCCCATTTTTAAATTTTTTTTAGTTGGAATTCTTTCCAGATTTTTAAAGGTTACCTAGACAGGTGGTCAATCCAACCATGAATTGAAGGATTCCATACACAGAAAACTAACAGGAGTACTTTGGTAGGCAGAGAGCTAAGATTGTGTTTAAACATCTGCCACCATAGTAGGTAACTCTAAGCATGGTTTTGGTCAGGAAAATTCCTGAAACAGGAATCATTTACCAAGCCTATAGGGAAATCTGAAAAGGTATAACCATTTTGATGAAAAATGTTCTGGAATATGTAATAGTAGTTGTACAACTTTATACCAAAACTACTGAATTACAAACTTCAAAAAAATAGTGGATTTTATAGTATGGGTGTTACATATTTGAAAATAACACCCACTTAATATTTGGTTTTATTGTTAAAGACTTATTCATTTGAAAGTTGGAGTTATACAGATAGAGAGAGGTCTTCGATCTGCTGGTTCACTCCCCAGTTGGCCGCAATGGCCAGAGCCATTCCAGTCCGAAGCCAGGAGCTTCTTCTGGGTCTCCCTTGTGGGTGCAGGGGCCCAAGGGCTTCTACTGCTTTCCCAGGCCACAGCAGAGAGCTGGATCGGAAGTGGAACAGCCAGGGCTTGAACTGGCACCCATATGGGATGCCAGCACTGCAGGCGGTGGCTTTACCTGCTATGTTACAGTGCTGGCCCCAATATTTGGTTTTAGAATTAACAGCTTCCTAGTGAAACTACTAGAGTTACAGAATATATCTGACCAACCACATTGATAGCAGCTTTTGAGTCTGCTGAGTGAGTAGATATATTCATGGAGTACCCGTTGTGTACATGACACTGTAAATACAGCAGGGGACAAAATGTAGTCCTTGCCTTCATGAGTGTGTTTAGTGTTCATTTCTTTTATGAGTCCTGGATGGCACTGGTTTTTTAGAATTACAAGTTTATTACCTATATGTATAAGGAAAACTAAACATTTTGATGTAAAATGAGAAATAACTTATTTATCTTAACTATTTATTTAAAAGGCAGAGTTAGAGAGGTGGAGCCTGGAACTCCATCTGGGTTTCCCATGTGGGTGCAGGGGCCCAAGTACTTGAGCTGTCTTTTGCTGTTCTCCCAGGCACGTTATCAGGGAGCTGAATCAGCCAGGACATGAACCAGCACCCATGTGGTATGCCAGCATTGTAGGCAGCAGCTTAACCAACTGCAACACAACAGTGGCCCCAGTGCCTACATTTTTACAAAAAAACCTTAGTTCTTTGGTTGTTGACTGGTAGATTTTAGCCATAGCTTTTGTACACCTGTTTAGATACTTCTATATGATTTACATATTATTACTATGAGAAAATTTAATGTTTGGGATTTGAGAACTGAATTTTCAGAAAATGTTTTAGTCACAACTTACGAGAATAAATTGGAGACTTCGTTCCCTGAAACACTGTTTGATATCTAACGAAAGAAATACTGCACAAACTGGGAAGTTTAACTTATTTGAAACAAGTTTTAATATATATTCTATATGCATGAACATTAATATTACTAAATGTTTATATAAACATGAAACAAGTACTTACAATAGTAATAGAAAGCTAATTTTCTCACTATTAATTACAGATAAATTTGAGTTGTTGGTATAGAAAGGTCTCAGTTAACAAGGTCTCACCAGTTGTAGGTGTGCTTTATAATTTCCTCCTGTACAATTGATACTAATGGATTTCTTTTTACTTCAAGCTTGCAAATACAGAAGAATACATAGATGGGGCATTGTCTGGACATCTGGGTGAAGTGTTAATAAGGTAAACAGCGCCAGTGTGTGTGAGAAGTTAGTGGTGAGCAGTATGTTTAGTGCCTCAACCTGGAAATTACTGGTTTTTTAAAAATTGTCAATTTATCATAATACTGTACAATTAGATTTCAAGATCTTTGAAATTGTTAAACTTGTCAAAGATAAAATATTTTGGGGCTATTCTTCCTCAAGATAGTTCTAATGTTGATAAGTCTTGTGACTCTGTGTTGTAACCTTTATTGTTAAAGATGTTTGTTAGACCCAAGTTCCAGTAATTTTTCCCTTCAGAAAATATCATTTTTAACAAACACATAAAAAATGTGTCATGTGCTTTTTAACAAAATGGGCCTTTTTTTCTGTTTACAGGTGTAATAATGTCCTTTATATCAGGGGTGTTGAAGAAGAGGAAGAAGATGGTGAAATGAGAGAGTAGCATCTTTGGTGGGGTTTTCTTTTTTTATATATATATTTCTAGACAATAAAGATGTGTTTGTTTTTTCAACTTGACTTGTGAGCTATTTATATGTAGGTACTTAAACAAATGCAAAGCTCCCCTGTTGAACCAATCAGAACCAATGCTTGAAAAACCATCCTGCTTGATTCAGCGTGGTTTTCTTTTGTTAACCCCAGTACTTTTTTTTCCTGTAGATGCCTAGAAATTTTTTAAAGATGAATTTCAGCCCTTATATATTAACTGAGACCTTTTAAAGGCAACTGTTTTTTATATTCTTGAGCTACTTTTAATATGTATACAAGTTAAGCATTTTCTTAGTATTAATATATACTATTTTTACTTAGTAGTCAATAAATTCTATGTTCTCTATTAATATATGCTAACTAATGTACATGCTGTAGCTAAAATCAGAACATCTGATAATTAAAATAATTGTGGAGATAGGGCACAACAGAAATTGTGCCCTGACAGGCTGCAAACATATGTTTTGTTGACTTAAGATAATAAAGTATTTAGGACAGAATTTACTGTGAAAGAAAACCAGTCTCACGGTTAAGTTCTGAGACCATAATCTAGCAGTTTTCTCTTCAGCTTTAAACTCATCACAACCCTTCACGTATTTTCAGTTTATACACTGTTATTACTGTAGAATGAATGTACATCATGACAGTGTGCTATGAACTCCCAATAGAATGGTTGAGAAAATAGATGATTTCAATTCTCATGTTGTCAGAGAATAGCCATTATTACCTTTCATGGTCATTCATCACATAGTTTTATCAGTAAACTAATTTTGGATGTGTTGCCTTCACTGGGCCAACTCAAAATATATAGATATAAATGTTTAGATTTTATAAGATAATACTTATGAGTAATAAAAACCTGCAAAAAAATAATTCCTACTCTATTGGAATGAGTATAAAGGCCTGTGTTCCTCACATTGGTTAGGACAGGTAATAAGGTGGAATATTGCCATTACTGAAAGCCCAAATCTGCAAAATATACCTAGAATATGCTGGTAATAATATGTCTTACTGCTCCTATTCAGGAAAAAAAATATTCTTCTTCCAGTGATTTTGTTCTTGTATCGCTGACTAAAAGTAGTGTATGTTTGTTACCAGATGGAGGTTTTGAACGATAGATGAGTCTTCTTCCCAACTGAAACAAAAGGAAAGTAAAATAATAACCTTTAGCATAACTATTTCTATTGAAGTATGTAAAATACCACTGTTGAATTGGTTTTGCAAGGTATATGGTTTGGGATTAGTAACCTAATGGATGTTTAACATGCCAAGTCGAGCTGAGTATCAAATTGAGTACTTACCATATACAGAAGACAGAGCACGTAGGTTTTACAGGAAGTGGGGAGACAGGCAACATCATCAAACACTGGTGTTACTATGGGGTCTAGGAAGGGCTCCCATTAGGCGAGGCTTAGGGAGAAAGCCCCTAATTCACACCTGTTTGTTTTCTCTGGGGCTGTATACTCAAAATCCATCACTACTCAATTCAGGTTTTTCTTTGGGTCTTGGGAGCCCTCCTCCTTCCTTATAATTTTGGTTCTTGTTTTTAGTTTGTAGTTGAAGCTGTGTAAATTAAATGTATGGATGAGGAAATTACCATATTCTATTGGATATGAGATTTGATAGGACGTCTCCACCTTTGTCTCAGAAGGTGCACTACTGACATTTTTAAAAATATTTTTCCTAACTTGAAAGGCAGACCAGCAGAAAAAGTTCTTAACTACTGATTCACTCCCAAAATTCCCACAGTAGCCAAGGCTGGGCCAGACCAAAGCCAGGAGCCCAGAACTCCAGGTCTCCCACATGGGTGACGGGGACCCAAGCCCTTGATCTCCCCAGGATGCATTAGCAGGAAGCTGAGTCAGAAGCAGATAGCCAGGACTCAGACCAGCACTTTAGCTGTGATCTCTAATGTGGGGATTATAAGACCCACTAGTTGTATGTCATTTTCTGAGTTCAGGATCTCCAAAATAATGTTGAGTCAGAGAGGCAGGGTTTAGAGCCACCATTTGTGCCAAAAAGAGTATGTACACAAACACAGAACAGTTCCAGAAAGATGGAGATGAAACTGTTTAAAGATACTGCCTCCAGGGAGAAGAACTGAGGGAGATTGTCTTTGCACTGAATATTCTTTACCTTTTGAACTTTGAACCACACGCTTGTAATACTATTTAAAAAAATTATTGGTGGATGGATGTTTGGCCTCATGGTTAAGACGTGCTTGGGACACTTACATCCCATAATAGTACCCAGGTTGGAATCTGCTCTTCTCCAGCTTCCTGCTAATCCATACCCTAGTAGGCAGCAGGTGATGGCCCAAGTAGTTGGGTCCCTGTCACCTATGTAGGAGCCTAGCTTTTGTGGGCATCTGGGGAGTGAACCAGCAGGTAAGAGATTTCTCTTTGTTCTGTGTCACTGCCTCTGAAATAAATAGATTTTTTAAAAAGTGAGCCTAATGGGGGAATAGTAGACAGACAATTATTTGAATTATTCCAAAAGTAACAAGGAACCAGAAAGCAACCAGTTGAAGCTGTGAGCAAGCCAGCTTATTTTACTGCAGTTCAGTCTGCAGGTATTAGACACGGTGTTTGTTTTAGCACCACAAGCACTCACATGTTGAGGGTTTGTGGGCCTGCTGAGGGGGAAACACATACCTTCTTCTTCGGTTGTGCTACTGCTCTTTCCAGAGCAGCTTTCAGCCTTTCTTCCTGGTGCTTTAGTTTTTCCTTCATTTTCTCTTCACGCAACCTGTCACAAGAGGGGAGAAAATTGTGTAGATTCTCTACATCACAGAACGTGGGGGGAAAAAACCAGTATCTACATCGTTACTATTTAATGAACTGTCTAAATACTAGAACGCCTTTAAGGTTAAGTGAAAGTGACATGCTTCATCTTCAGCTTAATAATGGCTTTTGAATATTCAGGAAAAGCTCAAATAGTTCTATCATGAAATGGAAAGAAACTTCATTTCACCATTTTGGAAAAAGTAAAAGCTACTCACATCTTGAAATGAGATCAGTCCTCATCCCTCCACCTTACATTTCAACATTTTACTGTTCCTCTGTACAGTAGCCACTTGGATTAACATCTAGTTATTTTTCTCCCTTCTGAAAACCCCTTTTAAAAAACTGAGATATAAGACACATTTGGGAAAGTACCCAAGTCACAGGTGTATAGGACTATGAATTGCCACAGAAGTGTACATCCCAGTTAATCTTGAATGATGATCCTCAAATTAAGACCAAGATATCCTGCTTGACTTAATCTCTTTTAGAGTTCGTTGTGAGGAGAAAATTCAATGGGATCATCTATGCAGACTGTCTAACAGAAAAGGCATTCACTAAGTAGTAGCATTTTAGTGGACCATGCAATTATATTCTGCGTAACTAACTGGGCATTTTAAGTGCAAAATTAGGTGCTGTATTAGGCGCCTTTGCACCTTGGGGAAAATCAACTAAAATCCTCTTTAATAAGATGGAAAATAACTAGCTTTAGATTGGTGTATCTGCTGAAAACAAGTTGTAATTATGCCTCTGTGAGAGTATAATTGCTACTGTAAGATAGATGCAAGTGCTGTTACTGTAGTGAGTAGTGAGGGCTTCTCATGGAAGGCGTAATCTTTGGAATTTTTTTTAATACAACAGCCATACGAGGTAAGTACCATTGTTAGTACCATTTTACAGATAAAGACGCTGAGACTGGAGAAGTTATGCTACTGCCTGCCCAAGGTCACAAAGCTGTGAACAGTTGAACCTGAATCGTACCCAGGCAGGCAGGCTGTCAGACAGTGCACCTTTCCGTAGTACTAGTCGGTCTCTCACATGTTTTTCTATCACATATTCATTATCCCACATATAGACAATCCTTACCTGCCACATTATACTAGGGGTTGTGTTACAGTTAGAGCAATCACTGTCTCAAGCACAAGATGTACACGAAAACTATTTCACTGGGTTTGGAAATTAATCAGTCTGCTCATTCTCAAAGGCCCCAAGCAGGCAAGGATGTGGGGTGGGGGTGGGGTTCCAGGGGCCATAATCCTCATGAGGTTTTGAGTAGTAAATGAATTAATGTCTAAGTGCTGTGCAAGGGTTGCAGTTACGCACTGAGAAAAACCACTCTGGCCCTCACTTTCAAAAAATTCTGTCAGGTTCACTCCCCAGAGTTTTCCAGTGGAGATAATTCTGTGCCTTGGGTCCTTCACTGCATTTGTAATTCTTTCACATCATGGTTCTGTACACATTTTCATGCAATTGTGTTCAAACCAAAGATTAATTTCTTCAGCCTTTAAAAAGACCCCTTTGCCAGGTGAGTTGGCCCTGGTGAGTCCTGTGCTTACGGTCCCTTCACAGAGACATGCACTTCCTGAGTGTTCAGTGAGTGTGTTTCCCACACTAAACAATAGCCCTGTGAGGAGGAGAGTGCCAGGTTTCTTCACCATGGCATCCCTGTGTGGCTATTTTTGCCAAATAAGAAACAACTGGAAAATGTGCAATCCAAGCTAACATACTAGCTACTCATTAAATCATCTGCTAGATTTGTATCGTAAGATATGGACTGTACTTTTGCCGCCGTTCTTTCTGTTTTATCCTCTCGATCGCCTCCACATTTTCTTTGGGGATAGATTCGATGAGGTCACTGAGTTCTACCAGGCGAGACTCTACCTTGACCAGCTTTTGAACTGGGTTGAGGCTGCCAACCTCAGCGTCTCCAATGCAGACTCTGTATACTTGATTAATTTTTTTACTAAGTGAGTCAATCAGTTTTTCCTGAGACAGAGAAGGAAAGGAAGGACATAAAACATAACGTCACTGTATGGTTGCTCATTCAATAAATGTGAAATTCTGTATTACTGTATTACATGGAAAAAGTTCCTTCATATGCTACTAACAATGTTTCCTTTTTTAAAAGAACAACTTCAACATGACATAGACCAGTGGGAAATGCAGCTGTGGTATTTATCATTTATAGTTAGATCATTACTCCAGGGACACCTTTGATTATTTTCTTAAAATCTAATTGTCAGCATAAAAAACTAGTAAGTATCTCTTTTGCTTGAATATTTTTATGTTTCTGACAGCATTCAGGAAAGTCAATATATACGTTTTAAATCCTTTTGTACTGCTGATAGGTTTCTTTGCAGCAGAATGTGTGCACCCCCTCCCTTTCCGTATTTATATGTCTTACTGTAATTACTAGGACTATGATCAGCCTTGTGATAGAATGTAAGCACCTGGAGGGCAGGAGCTACTTCTTGGGCTTATATCTAAAACAGCACCTTGCACATACCTGTGCACTTCATAAACGATTGCTGAATAAATGCGTTCTCAGAGGGAAAAGTCTGCAAGCCAGCAGGTTCCCAGGCTGGTGTAGCAAAGCCTTTTTCAGGAGCTTCACTGCCTCCCTGGGGAAGCCTGTGCAGTATTCTAGTCTCAACAGATGCTTAGGCCAAACCCTGCTCATCCCTGTACCTCGCCACTGCGCGATTGTAACTGCTGGTGGAGATTCTTGAGCTGGTAGGTAACGTGTCCTGGGACCCAAAGAAAACTTCTCTCTTTGTCCATTGGGGACCCGGTATTTGCAGCTAAGAGGATCTCCACAAACTGCTGGGCAAGGAAAATCGTTTTCCAGGTAGCCTCCTTCCCCAATTCTCGCTTCTGCCCAAGAAGATGAGAATGACCCTAAAGCCAAGGACAAATAACACACTCAAGACAGGTGTGGCTACTGAAGCCGTGGCAAACCCTGTAGGGAACCACAGGCCCCATCCTGAGCCACCAACACTTCATGAATTACAAGCCAAGGTCTGATACCAAGGGTGTGCTTCCGATAGTTTGTGTCTCCCACCTCCTAAGTTAAACTTGCGGTGAAGTTCTCGTTTTCTCTGGAAAGTAACACTTCTTTCTATTTCCCATTTATGTGAAAAAAAAAAAAAGATCCTTTTAGAACAAAAAAGGAAATAGTCCAAGTTCTGTTCACCTTTAACACTTCCTGTGTTTCCTATTCATGTAAGGGCATGTTACATTCAGAATCCTTGAAGACACAGTAAAGTATAAAAATATGGCTTAGCTGAAATACTGTGCATTGCATGTGACAGAATGTCACAGTGTGACTAGGTAAAGAAAAAAAAAGACATTAAAAATACATTCAACACTGTCAAACAGGAGAGTAGAAGATAAAGGTATTTCCTTAAAGCAATTAGGGCAGTTGAGGAAATAAGGGAATGTGAGTAGAGAACTCACGTAGTAGATTGACAGGCTGGCCCAGCAGAGCAAAGGGCAGGGTCTCAAGGCCCAGACCTGAACGTGACCAAGAAGTGAGCCCTGGAACTGCCACCAGATGGCAGGCCCAGCCCAGGGCACCCCGGAGGGAGCGAGACTGAGAAGAAGGAGGTGATCCTGGTCTTTGGGAGCTACAGTGGGGCAGGACTGTGGAAGACAATCCTGGGAGAAGGGCTTCAGAGGCCTCCCAGCAGTGAATGGGAAGTGATAGGACCAGAGCAATGTTTCAGGAGGAATCGCTGTCAAAACTGGAGAGAAGATGGGGGAGAGATCTACATGTCATCCGACCTTCCAGTCCACATCTGCTGTGTGCCCCTCTACAGCTCTCCCAACTCAATGTCGTCAGCCCCTCCTGCAAAAGGGTAAGACCAGACACTGAGACACTGCACACTGACAACAGGAGCACTGATGTGCTATTTCATGTTCGATGAACAAATAGCTGCTACCCAGACATGGATGAACCTCACTAAACACAGTACTGAGAAAAAAAGCCAGATGTATCACACGATTCCACGATTCCATGTTCATGGAAGAGAAGCCCGGAGAGCAGTGCCCTTTGAGGGAGACTGGGAAGATGCGCAAGGAAGGAGGCCAGGGACTGATAAGCTATTGCATGATCTGGAGGGAAGAGCGACTTTTTTTCATGGCTGCCCAGACTTGGATAAAGCAGGCTTGTTTGGGTTGGGGGAGGGGAGATACCTGGCTATGTGTCTCACATTTTGCATTTCACTCAGCTTCAGAATTATTTATTTTTCATGTTTATTTTCTATTTGAAAGGCAGAGGGAAGGGAAGGAAAAGGGAAACAATCTTCTATCCACTAGGTTACTCTCTAAATGCCTACAACAAGTGGGACCTGGCCAGACTGAAGCCAGGAGATCCAACTGTGGTTTGCACATGAGTGGCAGGGACCCAACTACTTGGGCCATCATTTGCTGTCTCCCAGGGTGTGCAGTAGCAGGAAGCTAGGTCAGAAGCAGAGTAGCCAGGCATTCTGATCTGGGATGTTGGCAATCCAGGTGGTGGCTTAACCACTGTGCCACAACACCTGCCTTAAGAATGACTTAAAACAGTTGAAATATGCTAACAACCCAGATGGCCATCAGCAGAAGAATGGATAAACCAACGATGATCTACTTCAGTAAAAATGGAGAATTATTTCAATTTGAAAAAATAATGTAGTGCTGATACATGCTACAACATGCAGGAACCTTGGTAACATAAGTGAAATAAGCTAGACTCCAAAGGACAAATACTTTACAGTTCCATTTATATGAAGCATCTGGACTAGTCAAATTCATAGACAGAAAACAGATTGCTGTTGCCAGGGGAAATGGGAATTTAGTGTTTGAATAGAATAGAGGGCCAGTTTGATGTACTACTGAACTGTACATTTAATAATGGATAAAAGGTTAACTTTTACATTGAAATGATGAGAGAGCTATGAAAATAGTGATAATGGTTACACAACACTGGGAATGTACTGAATGCCACTGAGTTGCATACTTACAATGGCTTAGTAGCAAAGTGTTCATAGAAGCAACACTGAAGAGCTACGACGTGGCTGGCATCACCCTTTGCTCTGGGAACACACAACCCATCCATTGCTGATTGGGGTACCGGAACACCCAGGAAATGTGTGTGCCCTTGACAGCTTTTTCTTTTCCAACCCTGCCCACCTGGAGAGCACAGTCATCTTCCGATACAGTTCTCCCAGATCTACCTCCATTTGCAAATCAGGTTTAAAACCAGAACTGTTATCAGCCCCTAGATAAGCTTCTAATTTTTATTTGATGTGAGGCTTTTTCAAGGAGACTAATGTTAGATGGAGTTTGTGGTGGGCCCTGTGACTAAGCTAATCATCATTCAACAAACATTTATTGAGTACCGCCTTTATGGGGACACTGAACTGAGCAAACGGTAAGACAATGCCTGCCCTCAAGGGGTTCAACTGGGAGAGATGAACTTGTCAGTGAGTGTGTGTCCTAACATGTGTCACAGATGCTCTGAGAGTAAGTCCACCTATGCAGGCCCAAAGAGGCCAAAATCAAGGCCTTACAAGACCCAGTGTTGAGCAGATGTTGATTTGCTGTTCATCGTATTAAATCATTGCTTCCTTTGCTAACAAGCTTGCTCCTGGAATTACCACGCCAGCGATCACAGGCAGCGAACTGTTTCCCATGTATACACCTTTACTGAAAGAAATGTATATGTAGGGAACACCTCGCTATCATACTTTACAATGATTAGAGCAGTGATTCGTAACACTCCCACACCAACGTCAAGGCGTTCTACCTATGCCAACTGACTATCACATGCTGGCAGATACATCCGAACTGGTTTCTGCCTCTGTCACTGAGCTATGACTTGTGTGTGGCTTTAATTCCCCCCACACAGAGGCTGAGTACACAAGAAATGCAAATTATTACCAGCAAGAGCCAAAATAAAATTACTGCAGGCAAAGAATGATTACCTGAGCTTCTGAATTAAATTCTCCGAAACTAAACAGCCTGGACCTTAATTCCAGCTCCGCGGCCTTTTCCTCTTCTCTCACACAGTTAGCCTTGAGCATCGCCTTTTGCTCCAACAGAAAGTCCACGTTGCTATTTCTATTGCAGAAGAAGAGAACCTGCTCTGTAATTCACAATTTGGCACAAAAAAAATTGTCACGCGCATCAACACTGTTTAGATCATGGTCAGCATCCTATGTCTGGTAAGTCACATCTGAGTCTGGGTGTGAGGACACGGCCAAGGTACATGAGCTTCTCACGTTAAGATGAGAAAAAGAAATGCACAATGCCGCTTTTCATTTCCATCAGAGGGCGTTTTCTTCCCTCTTCCTACTTGTGTGGGTCCCTCCCCCCAGGCCCCCAGATAAAGAGGAGCAGAGCTGGGGCGTCAGCAGCTCCAGCTGCGGTGTGATCTATCAGGGCCAGCCATGCCCTCGGCTTGGGCTAGTGATCAGTATCTGGGAAGCGGGAGGGTGGACCCCCGAGTCCCTCCCCTTGACATTCCCACAGAGACCCCCCAGACGTAGATTCTACCATGATCCCTTTCTCCTGCCTGCCTGCTCCATCCCCATCCCCGAAAATCAAAAATCAGGTGGGGATGGGGATTGGGGGGGCAGCTGATGCTGGGAAGATTGGGAAATACAAAGATGAAAAGGTTACAGTGCTGGGAACGGGAGGCTGGGAGAAAATGTGTCTTAGGCTCTTACTTTCTGAACAAATTAATTTGTTCTGAAGTTTCTGTTTAAAAATGTGGTCAATGGGGCCAGTGCTGTGGCATAGCGGGTAAAGCTGCTGCCTGCAGTGCCAGCATTCCATATGGGTGCCAGTTCGAGTCCCAGCTGCTCCACTTCCAATCCAACTTGGCTGCTCTGCTTCCAATCCAACAGGCCCCTGCACCCATGTGGGAGACCTGGAGGAAGCTCCTGGTTCCTGGCTTTAGATCGGCACAACTCTGGCCGTTGTGGCCAAATGGAGAGTGAACCAGCAAATGGAAGACCTCTCTCTCTGCCTCCTCTTCTCTCTGTGTAACTCTTTCAAATAAATAAATCAGTCCTAACAAACAAACACACAAACAAAAACACCTTACAAAAAATGTAGTCATTTGTGCTGGTGTCGTGGCCTAGTGGGTAAAGCCTCTGCCTGTGACACACCAGCATCCCATAAGGGCACCGGTTCAAGTACCAGCTGCTCCACTTCCGATCCAGCTCCCTGCTAATGTTCCTGGGAAAGCAGAAGATGGCCCAAGTCCTTGGGCCCCTGCACCCACATGGGAGACACAGAAGAAGCTCCTGGCTTTGGTCTGGCCCAGACCTGGTTGTTGCAGCCATCTGGAGAGTGAACCAGAGGATAGAAGACCTGTCTCTCTAACACTGCCTCTCAAATAAATAAATCCTTAAAAATAAAATGAAAAATAAAAATGTGGTAATCCAGCTCAGATCATTTTGAAAAAGGTTTTAGAGCTTTGTATAATGGGGTAGATACACAGATCTGTTCTCTGTGATTTGATGCTCTTTTTCAAAAGTGTAATAAGTGTGCTAAAATGTTAGCGTCAGAAGGAATTCTGAGAGACACCTAGTCCAGCCTCCTTCCCCTGACTGCACTCTGTCTGTAAGAGCCTTGGCATGCGGACAGGTGCATTAGAAAAAGATACAGAATATCTAACAATGAAAATTATTTAGGTGAGAATCACATCAAGGAAACCTCACTTATTGCATCGTCAGGCCAAGTGCCATCCGACTGAGGAAAGGACAGCCAGGTGACAGGTGACGATGACACTGGTCACAAACAAAGGCAGTAGGTGCCATTTAAATGGTTTTCAGCTACCTTTTATCATTACGAAGGAGAAAAGATATTCTGACAAGTAAGAGGAGGTAGGGACAAAATTCAACTAAAGCCAGTCCATTCTGTGTAAATACAGCTTCCCATTTTTATACCCAGCAATGCAAACTCTAATAGAAATCCCAGCCTACATCCACAGAGACCAGCAGAAGGAGCCACTCGTGCATGAGGGGCCATTTCCTGTTACACACTGCTTAACGGAATAATCGACTTGTTTAGGATGACTTACATTTTTTCCTGTATCATTCTCTCTCGTTTGTTTATATCTTCCAGATTTTCATCTACATCCTGGGAATACTGGACCAAAGTTAGATTCTGCTCTTCCAGCTCCATGAGCACTTGGAGCAGCTCCTCTGGCTCTTTGAAATAAAGCTCCGGCTCCTACGCGATCGGTAACCAAGAACAGAATTCACTGATGAAACTGCTACCTGTGTACACGGGCAGTACAGGAGAGGACTGTGTACTCCTGCTACCTGTGTACTCTAGACAGTACCGGGGTGTGGGGGGGAGGCTGCCGTCCTGTGAGAGCGACAGGGCAGGATGCAGTAGCCTTGCCTGGCTCCCAGTGAGACCTGGCTCTCAGCAGGATGACACGTGGGGGCTGGGGGGGAGGGGGAGGGGCCGGGAAAAGGAAGCAGAGGGTGAGGAGTGGAGAAAGCAAGGACACAGCAGAAGAGGGGACGTGGGCAGGAAAGAGGAAAAAGGCAAGGGAGACGGAATGGGACACAGAAGCGGGCTAAGGGAGGCTGTTTTCCCCCTGCATTTTAATCATCTTCTATTTCCCAAATTTTTAAGACTAAACACAGCTTACTCTAAGCAAATTGCCTTTTTTTGGAGGTGGGGGGAACAGGCAGAGTTAGAAAGTGAGAAAGAGAAAGGTCTTCCTTCCGTTGGTTCGCCCTCCAAATGGCCGCTATGGCCAGCGCGCTGTGCTGATCCAAAGCCAGTAGCCAGGTGCTTCCTCCTGGTCTCCCATGGGGTGCAGGGCTCAAGGACTTGGGCCATCCTCCACTGCCTTCCTGGGCCACAGCAGAAAGCTATACTGGAAGAGGAGCAACTGGGACAGAATCCGGCACCCCGACCGGGACTAGAACCCGGGGTGCCGGCACCGCAGGCGGAGGATTAGCCTAGTGAGCTGTGGCGCTGGCCGCAAATTGCTTTTAGAACATGGCCTGGACATTTGCATACTCATACTCATTATTTACAGTAGCCAGGAGGTAGAAGCGACAGGAATATCCATTGATGGGTAAAGGGCTAAAGCAAATGTGGGGCAGATACTCAGTGAAATAGTGGTCACCCTTACAAACTGAGGAAACCTTATCTTACACTATAGCATAGGTGAACCTTGGGGATATCTTGCATGATGTCACGAAAAGACAGATATTGCATGATTACACTTACATGAGGTATCTTTTTTTTAAGGTGAGAAACCCTACTTTAACCATCTATTTTTTTTTCAAATGTTTATTTATTCATTTTTAAAATTCATTTGAAAGGGAGAGAGAGAGAGGGAGAGAGACAGAGACAGAGAAAGATTCTCTATCTGCTATTTCCTTCCCCCAAATGTCCTCAATAGCCAGGGCTGGGCCAAAGCTAGGAGACAGGAACTCCACCCAGGCCTCCCACGTGGATGCAAGGAACCCAAGTACTTGGGCTATCAACACTGCCCCCTAGGGGCCGGCGCTGTGGCATAGCAGGTTAAATTTCCACCCCCATGGGGCCAGCGCTGTGGCTTACCGGTAAAGCCACTGCCTGCTGTTGCAGGCATCCCAGATAGGCGTTGATTTGAGACCCAGCTGTTCCATTTCCAATCCAGCTCTGCTGAGGCCTGGGAAAGCAGTGGAAGATGGCCCAAGTCCTTGGGCCCTGGTACCCATGTGGGAGACCCAGAAGAAGCTCCTGGCTTCAGATCGGCCCAGCTCTGGCTGTTGCAGCCATTTTTGGGAGTGAACTAGCGGAAGGAAGACCTCTCTGCCTCTCAAAAAAACAAAAACAAAAACAAAAAAAACCACAACAACAAAACAAACAAAAAAAACCCAAAAAACTCCACCCACACCCACATCCCATATGGCCTCCGGTTTGAGTCCAGTCTGCTCTAATTCTGATCCAGCTCCCTGCTCACGGCCTGAGAAAACTGCAGAAAATAGCCCAAGTGCTTGGACCTTTGCAGTCACAGGGGAGACCTGGAAGAAGCTCCTGGCTTCGGATTGGTGCAGCTCTGGCTGTTGTGGCCATTTGAGGAGTGAACCAGTGGATGGAAGACCTCTCTGTCCCTCCCTGTCTGTAACTCTGCCTCGCAAATAAGTGAATAAATCTTAAAACACTGCCTCCCAGGCACATTAGCAGGAAACTATCAGAAGCACAGGCAGGACTCCACCTAGGTACTCCTGTAGGGATGTGGGGGTATGATAAGCGGCAGCTTAACCTGTAGTCAGACTCTGGAAACAGACGCACAATGGGGGCTGCGCAGGGGCTGTGGGAGGAGGGAAGGGACTTGTTGGTCTGTGGGTGCAGAGGTCTGTTTTGCAGGATGGGGAGGTTGGGGAGATCTGTTGCCAATGATGTGCATGTAGTCAGCACTGCTGAACTGCATGCCTCAAAAATGGCTAAGATGGGCCAGCGCTGCGGCTCAATAGGCTAATCCTCCGCCTGTGGCGCTGGCACCCCGGGTTCTAGTCCCGGTCGGGACACCAGATTCTGTCCCAGTCACTCCTCTTCCAGGCCAGCTCTCTGCTGTGGCCCGGGAGTGCAGTGGAGGATGGCCCAAGTGCTTGGGCCCTGTACCCGCATGGGAGACCAGGAGAAGCACCTGGCTCCTGGCTTCGGATCAGTGCGGTGCGCTGGCTGCAGCAGCCATTGGAGGGTGAACCAACGGCAAAGGAAGACCTTTCTCTCTGTCTCTCTCTCTCACTGTCCACTCTGCCTGTCAAAAAGGAAATTAAAAAAATTTAAAAAATTAAAAAATAAAAAAAATGGCTAAGATGGTGAAAGGTCAAATGCATGGTGACTTTTGTTCCTTTAAATTTTGGTAGTTATATGTAGAGTGGCTTAGCGCAAGGTCCATGTTGTGGCCGCAAAGGGCTGTTTTGTTGAAGGCTGACCTACTGTATGGCTCAGCAACCTGATGCAGCTCAAGCCCCAAAAGAATACTGAGCAATGAGAAAGTGGCTGTTTCTACAGGAAGACTGTGGATTACATGAGGACACTTCAAAAGATCACGGCAAAGTACACAGGCTTGTACAATGTGCATGGCTTTCAAGGTTTTTTTGCACCAAAATGAACTTTTCTGTTAAATCCAATTTCCATGAACTTTTTGAAGTACCACTGTGTAGGAATATATCTCCTAAATTATCCTCTTATAGACATGTTTCTTAAACTAATGACAAAGATGGGCTATACTTCCAATCTGAGAGCAGTAGGAAACTCAGATTCTCTCTGGAAAATTTGCAGAATATTTACAATGGAAATGCTTAAGTTCCAAAGAAGAAACGAGCATCTATCCTCTTCACCAGACACAACGTTTCAATCAAGAGGCGTAGTGTAGTTACCAGGTCGAAGTCCACATCCTCATCCAGAAAGAATTCCAGACTGTCCTCCGAACTGATGCTTTCAGGCCGACTACAAAAGGAACACAGAAGTGGGGGAGGGGGAGTGATTTCTGAGCCATTTTCTGCCAACAGATTCGCTTTCATTTCATTTCATCTAGCACAGTCCAACAGGTGGCTCAGCCTTCCAGGAATCTGCAGATTGCATTCAATACACACGTATGATTAAAAACTCCCCAAAAACTGGAATAGAGGAGACTTTGTCAGCTTGGCAGAGTGTCTACAGCTGCAGAAACTGACAGCTAACGTCACACACTGAAGACCTGCATCCTCTCACGACTAGGAGCTGTCCAGGACATTGTCCCCTCTGCTCTTACTCAGAGCAGTAAAGAAAAACCAAGGGACATAAAATAATACAGACCAGAAAGGAAGAAGGAAAACTGTCCCTGTTTGCAGATGACACGATAGTCCACATAGGAAATCCAAAGGAATCTTTTTTGTCTTTTGGGAGAGAGAAGGAGCAAGCTCCCATTCACTGGTTTACTCTCCAAATGCTTGCAATGGCTGCAGCTGGGCCAGACCGAAGCTGGGAGCCAGAAGCTCCACCAAGGTCTCCCACATGGGTGGCAGGGACCCAAGTCCATGAGCCACCAGCACTGCCTCCCAGGGCCTGCAGTCGCAGGAAGCTGGAGTGAGGACCCATGGCAGGAACTGGACCTGGGTATTCTCACCCAGGAGGCAGGCTTCCTAGCTGCTGTCTCACTGCTAGGCCCAATGCCCAACCCCAGAGGAGTCTTTAAGAACAAAGCAGAAACAGAATCTGGGAACTAAGAAAAAGTGAGTTCAACATGGGCAGAGTATACAGGATAAAAGCACAACCACCAACTGAAAAACCTTTCAGTCTCAACCTGACACCTTGTATAAAGTGGGTCACACTTTCTCTTGCCAGCACGTTATGTACGAATTACCTCAAATTGCAAAATGGATCATGGGCTTACATATAAAACTATAAGATTCTTAGGGCAAAAAAATCTTTCAGTCTTGGGCTACGCCAAAGATTTTAGAATTGACACCAAAATTGAGGTCCATAAAACAAATTACAAATTGGACTTAACTGAAATTTAAAATTTTGTCTCTACAAAAGATCTTGTTAGGAGAATGAAAGAACATTATGGCCGGCGCCGCAGCTCAATAGGCTAATCCTCCGCCTTGCGGTGCCGGCACACCGGGTTCTAGTCCCAGTCAGGGCGCCGGATTCTTTCCCGGTTGCCCCTCTTCCAGGCCAGCTCTCTGCTGTGGCCAGGGAGTGCAGTGGAGGATGGCCCAAGTGCTTGGGCCCTGCACCCCATGGGAGACCAGGAGAAGCACCTGGCTCCTGGCTTCGGATCAGCGCAGTGCGCCGGTGCAGTGTGCCGGCCGCGGCGGCCATTGGAGGGTGAACCCACGGCAAAAGGAAGACCTTTCTCTCTTTTCTCTCTGTCTCTCTCTCTCTCACTGTCCACTCTGCCTGTCAAAAAAAAAAAAAAAAAATTATGGGAGAAAATATCTGCAAACTACACATACCCAAAGATTAGAATCTAATATATAAAGAATTCTCCAAATTCAACAAATTCTGTTTTTAAAAAGTCAGAAAATGATGGGGCCAGTGCTGTGGTAGGTTAATCTGTGGTGCCGGCATCCCATATGGGCACCGGTTCTAGTCCCGGCTGCTCCTCTTCCTATCCAGCTCTCTGCTATGGCCTGGGAAAGCAGAAGATGGCCCAGGTGCTTGGGCCCCTGCACCCACTTGGGAGACCTGGAAGAAGCTCCTGGCTCCTGGTTTTGCATTGATTCAGCTCTGGCCCTTGTGGCTACTTGGAGAGTGAACCAGCGGATGGAAGACCTTTCTCTCTGTCTCTCCCTCTGTCTCTCTACCTCTCAAATAAATAAAATCTTAAAAAAAAGTCAGAAAATGAGTAAAAGACATGAGCAGACATTTCACCAGAGGATACAGTAATACATAAGCACATGACAAGATATTCAACCCCACTAACTACTGGGGAAATGCAAATTAAAAGCACAATGAAATATCACCATACACCTATCAAAATAGTTGAAAAAAAAAAAAGGGGGTTGGCACTGTGGCTTAGTGGATAAAGCCACTGCTTGCAGTGCCGACATCCCATATGGGCGCTGGTCCAAGTCCCAGCTGCTCCAGTTCCAATCCAGCTCTCTGCTGTGCCCTGGGAAAGCAGAAGATGGCCCAAGTCCTTGGGCCCCTGCACCCACATGGGAGACCAGAAGAAGGTCCAGGCTCCTGGCTTCTGATTGGCCCAGCTGCAACCCTTGCAGCTATTTGGGGAGTGAACCAGCAGATGGAAGACTCTCTCCGTCTGCATCTGTAACTCTGCCTTTCAAATAAATAAATAAATCTTAAAAAAATGGCTTCCAAATGCCACAGAAAGGGACCCACCCCAAGGAATTCAGAGCAAAGCACCTCTGTTGCCTTTAGCAACTACCAGGGACACTAGGGTGCTGCCCCTATATCCCTTTCTCAGGGCCAGGGTGCCGCCTGACCCAGCACTGATACACACACACATACACACACACACCCAGGGCCAGGGTGCCACCTGTCCCAGCACTGACACACACACACACACACACACGGCCAGGGTGCCGCCTGTCCCAGCACTGATACATACACACACACACACACACAGGGCCAGGGTGCCACCTGTCCCAGCACTGACACACACACACACACGGCCAGGGTGCTGCCTGTCCCAGCACTGATACATACACACACACACACACACACACATACAGGGCCAGGGTGTCACCTGTCCCAGCACTGACACACACACACACACACATACAGGGCCAGGGTGCCACCTGTCCCAGCACACACACACACACACACACACACAGGGCCAGGGTGCCGCCTGTCCCAACACTGATACACACACACATACACACACACACACAGGGCCAGGGTGCCACCACATACATATATATGTGTATATATTTATATTTATTTTTAAAAAATTTTAAAGAGCTTGTTATTTATTTGAAGGTCAGAGTTAAAGCGAGAGGAGACACACAAAGGCAGAAATCTTCCATCCGCTGGTTCACTCCCAAATGACCCTAATGAACAGGGCTGGACCAGGCTGAAGCCAGGAGCCTCAGCTATCTCCAGGTCTCCCACACGGGTGCAGGGACCCAAGGACTTGGGCCATCTTCCACTGCTTTCCCAGGTGCATTAGCAGGGAGCTGGGTCAGAAGTGGAGCAGCCAGGACTTGAACTGGCGCCCATGTGGGATGCTGTGCTGACAGTGGCTTCACCCGCTACACCACAGTAGCCTGGGTGGAGAACTAGCAACTCAGGAAATAATGAGTATAACTGAGTCAACCATCATCAAGGGAAGCAACAAAAGATAAAAATGGTTTATGGTGCTATTGCAGCAATTTTGAGCAATGTGGCAAAATTGCGAACCCATAGGCAAAGCAGCTTAGGAGACAACAGCAGAGACCCCAGAGGCAGGGGCGATCGGTTTCTGGAAGTAGCAATGGCTTCTCAAAGAATGCATAGGAGTCCATGGGAGCTCAGACACTGCACAAGCCACCTCCACTGGGTGTTAGCACAGCTGGGGATGTGGGATCTACGTGGAAGAAAGGCCAACAGAGTGGTTTTCTAGAAACCTTTCCATTCCCAAGAGAGTTAATCAGCATGCACTGTACTTGGACATGGATGATTTCTTGGGCTCTGGGTTGAGGGTGGGCCTCTTGCGTGGCTTTCCTGTTCATGACGTCCAGGTGAAGTCCATGCCATTGGCGTAGGTGGGGTGAGAAGAAATGACAGGTGATTAGAAATCAGTCCTTGTCCCTTGGTACAAGGGAGAAAATAAGAAGTGATGTGCATGTCAATCATTACGTCTTGGGACAGACCTACCGCTGCCACAGACGAGTGACCTGCGCACCTGTCCCGCCCCCCCCTCCACTTATGTGTACTTGCTATCCCCTTCAAGATGTGGCCCCAACCCTGAGTTGAAGCTGAGAAGCGGCCATGATTTGTCTTGGGTCTCCTCCTCCACTGGCCCACAAACCCACCCGCTGCCTCACGTTTCCTCTTGCCAGTACCCTTAGGACCCAGCCATTGTTCCCCGATTCTGTCTTGAAACCAGAGTGGGCCTCACCCTTCCTTACCCTCTGTCTGGCAAGCTCCTACTCATACTTCAAAACCCAGCTCACATGTAAACCTTAAGTAGAAAGGGTCTTCTAAATGTGTCAGGCAGAGATCACATTTGGGGTTCTGTCTCCTGAGCCCTTGTTGCCTGTCAGTCACTTGCCCTGTTGTATTGCATAGCTCAGGGGTGCAGACATATGCTCTGTTCACCTTTGTGAACTCCAAGTCTTAAAACGTGCCCAACACATTGTATGCTTCCAATAAACAAATGGCACATGAGAGAAAGAAGAGGAAGAATGGATGGAGAGCTGGATGGATGCCATCACCACCATCAATGATCATCTTCGCTTTTAAGCTGAGACCGAACGCGTACTGCTGAAGTATCTTTAAGGGGTGTGACTTAGACTGAACAAGCTCCATCGTCCATATTTCACAGACAGGAGAACACTGACATCACTCCGCTGCCTGCCCACACGTGCCACTCCGGAGCCTCTAACAGGCAAAGCATGCCTTCCACGAGGCGCGCCCAAAGGGACCACGGCACCCACGACAATGCACTTTGTCAAGCAGCGAGCTGGGTGCACAGGGCGTCAGGCTCCTTCCAGGGTCATTTCTGGGCAGACACAGGTGCAAGGGAGCTGTACCCCTGCCCTCCCGGGCACACACTGCTGGATAAAGGACAGATGGGGTCACTGAGTCAGCTTGGGTTGGGGGACTGCAGATCCAAATGACAACAGGCTCTCTTCCTTCCCAGGTCCTCTGCCTGTGCCCAGCTCTGAGATTTGTGATGATGTTGGAGAACACTGGGAGCCTCAGAGGATGGGAGAGGTGAACGCCACCCTCTACCTCCCAGGTCAGCGTGCAGGCCCTGCCCCCTGCCACAGACATACTCTCCACTCTCCCTCTGTGCGGCAGGCCACGTGGCTCTCACTTACCTTGGCTCCTTCTCCCTTCTCCTGAAAGCAACATCCCCTCGGACTCATCCGGGGTGCCCTCTCTTTTATTTGAACTGATGGAGAATTCTGGAAAACAAGGTGGGGGGAGAGAGAGCACAGACGCGGGTGGGTGGGGCCGCCTCTGAGCCTGGTCCTCACTGAGTTGGTGAGCTGCCACCAGGTGGCGTCACTCCTGCGACACTCAGTACTCAGTGGGCAGGGCCAGCACCAGTGGCAGGCTGGGAAATGGTTAGCAGCCGGCTCTCCAGGGAACAGAGCGGGGCTTGGCCCACAGTGGGTGGTGCAAACGCTCCTGTCCCAGAGCATCTCTGCCTGTTTTGTTCTGGGCTCCACCTGGGAACTCTCTCCGGGGAGTTAGCAGAGGTGAACACAGGGTGTCCCCTCTCCCGGATTTATTCTGCTTTGCTGCTTTGTGTCCAAAGTTCTGAAAGCCAGTGTTTCTTCTAAATATATCCAGTGTTTTAGATGTTTTCAGGCAGGTCTGTGGGAAGAAGCTCCTGGCTCCTGGCTTCAGATTGGCCCAGCTCCGGCCGTTTTGGCCAATTGGAGAATGAACCAGCAGATGAAAAACTTCTCTCTCTCCCCCTCTTTCCCTCTCCCCCTCCCCCCTCTCTTTCTCTCTCTCTCTGCCTCTCCTTCTCTAACTCTGAATTTCAAGTAAATAAATCTTAAAAAAAAAAAATTCTCACAATTTGGGCCAGTGTCGTGTGTAGCAGGTTACACCTGCAATGCTGGCATCCCATGAGAACAGGTTTGAGTCCTGGCTGCTCTACTTCCGATCCAGCTCCCTGCTGATTCGCCTGGGAAAGCAGCTGAAGATGGCCTAAGTGTTTGGGTCACTGCCAGTGTGAGAGACTCAGATGGAGTTCTAGGCTCTTGGCTTTGGCCTGGCCCAGCCCCGACTCTCACAGCAGCTAGGGAGTGAATCAGTGGATGGAAGATCTCTCTTTGTCTCTCTCTTCCTCTCTGTAACTGTGCCTTTCAAATACATCTTTTTAACAAATCCTGACTATTTAAATACATAACAAACATTGAAGCGGAATATTTTGGAATCAGGGCTGTTTACTAAATGGAGAATACGTGACTTACTTGTTAATAATTTTGGAAGGACGACTTCCTCTTTACTCTTGGATGCCTGCGTTCTTTTTAGTGCTTGCTGCATTTGCCAATGCTTTGGAGATAATTTCAGCAGAAAAAATCCATATTTTATGTACTCCCTAAGTAGGAATTCTGTTTTTGCTATTTCACTACTCGAAAGAAACAAGGATATGATTAGGTACGTGTATTTGAAAGCATAGTCATCTAAAAAAATTTATAAAATTCATTCTCTTGATTAGGCATTTGCATAACAATTGGCTTGGCAAAAGGATAAACACAGCCACAAAAAATGCAGGCTTCAATGAGCTATGAGGTGAAAAAGAAACCTGCAGGAATGCTGCCTGAATAAAATATTTCTAGAATCGTGCACACATACCGTAGGCTGATGAGAATTTCAATCTATTTATTTGTCTGTGAAAAACACGTGTTAAGTTGCAGACACAGGGAAAAATTAGAAGGTAGCAAAAAATGGTATTTGTTTAAGGAGGAGGAAACCAAGGGTTAATGAGCACCTCCTGTCATTGGGCAGGTTCCCCAGGGTTCCTGTCTGGCGTGTACGCCGGAGGGAACAAGCAGACAGTAACTTCAGCTATAAGCAGAAAGGAACTCGTTTGCGTCGACAAAGCCAGGGGCAAGAGCGTCTCATGAACACACACCAGGCTCCCGGAGTAAAGGGTGGTTACACGTCCTGTAGAGTTTGCTTTGGGAGTCATACACAGGCCGTTAAATCTGGGGAAACTTCCAGGAAGGGTTATGATGTTTAAAAGCGGGCAGGGGTGGTGGTTGCTGGCAGTCACCCGAGGTCCAAGTACAGTGGAGAGAGGTGGCTGATGCAAACCAATCTCTCCAAAATGAAACCCACAACCCGGCTGAGAGAGACTGGACTCCATTTTGAATCAGGACTTTGACCAGGGAAGCCTACAGGTACACACATAACAGCCCACTGAGGGGGTAGGGGTCTGAAGGCAGCACTGGCAGCAGCCGTGCGCAGGCGCTAGACCAGTGACTGTAGCGTGTGATCCAGAGCTGGGAAGAGGGAACGGCCCGCAGCCCCCACTGTCTCAGACATCAACAGGGAAGTGGCTGGGCAACTACCAGAAACAAAGGGGCACCCATGCCAGCAGTGACCAGGGGAACCTTAGGTGCTGAGACCTTGGGGCTGGGTGGCTAAGAGAGAAGCTGCAGGATGTAGCTCAGATTCATTTCCTTGGAAACTCACCTTGCCCTAGAGCAGTGACCAGAGCCCCCAGGTCACACCCACCACACACCTCCTGGTATTCACTGGAAGGGTAGACATTCCAGGAAGCCACAGAAACATAGCAGCCCTCGCCCCAGAAAAAAGTCAACAGAAGAAAAAATTGAAAATCAATTCCAAAAAATGCCAAAAAATAAGAACCAAAATTCGAAGAAGAAAAAGGAAGTCATCATGAACTCCCGAAGAACACAACAACATTTCAATATTAAAATGCAAAGAGGAAGAGATCCGAGGAAATACCAGAAATGGAATTTAGAAAATTAATCATAGTGTTATTAAAAAAAATCAGGAGCAAATCCATGAACTAAAAAAACCCATACAAGACATAAACAAAAAATTTTTGCCAGGAAATCAAGACCATAAAGAGAAATAAAAATGAAATTTTAGAAACAAAGAATTCAATGGATCAAATGAAAAATGAAGTGGAAAGTCTTAACAGCAGACTTAAGAAGGCAGCAGAAAGAACATCTGAACTAGAAGACAAGTCTTTGGAAATCTTACAGTCAGACAAAAGAACAAAAAAAAAAAAAACAAGAAAATATTGTTGGAGACCTATAGGATATTATCAAATGACCAAACATGTGGGTCATAGCAGTGCCTGAAGGAGTGGAAAGAGAGAAGGGGACAGAAAGCCTATTTAGTGAAATAATTACAGAAAACTTCCCCAATTTAGAGAAAGAAAGGAATGTTCAAATAGAGGAAGAACATAGGACTCCTAACAGATGTGACCAGAAAAGATCTTTACCACGACACTTTGTAGTCAAACTCTCCACAATAAAACATAAAGAAAAGATTCTAAAATGGGCATGAGAAAACCACCACATTACCTTCAGAAGATGTCCAATTAGACTCACAGCTGACTTCTCATCAGAAACCCTACAGGCTAGAAGGGAATGGCGAGATATAGTCCAAGTCTTAACAGTAAAAACTGCCAACCCAGAATACTATACCCCACACAGCCTGCATTTATGAATGAAGGTGAAATAAAGGACTTCCATAACAAACAGAAATTGAAAGAATTTGTCGATACTCATCCAGTCCTACAGAAGATGCTTAAGGATGTGTTAAATATAGAAACACAGAAAGACACCCACCATGATGAAAGAATGAGAAGGCAAAAAACCCACTAGTAGAAGTACAAAAGAAATCCAAAGTAAACAATAGGAAGAATTATAGACAAATGGCAGGGCCAAGTCCTTACTTATCAATTGTCACCTTGAACGTAAATGGCCTCAACTCTCCAGTTAAAAGATAACGATTGGCTGAATGGATTGAAAAAACAAGACCCATCTATTGACTGTTTACAGGAAATACATCTCACCAACAAAAATACAAGCAGACTGAAAGTGAAAGGCTGGAAAAAGTTAGTCCATACTAATAGAAACCAAGAAAGAATTAATGCTGCAATCCTAGTATCAGACAAAACAGACTGTAACATCACAACTGTTAAGAAAGACAAAGAAGGACACTCTGTAATGACTAAGGGATTGATCCAACAGGAATATTTGACAATAATAAATGAATGTGTGCCCAACTACAGGACACCTGGCTACTTTAAAAAATGTTAATAGACCTAAAGGGAGGCATAGACTCCAATAAAATAGTGATGAGGGACTTTAATACCCCACTTTCAGCAATGGAGAGAAAACTAAACAGAAAATCAGCAAGGAAACAACAGTTAATTGACACTATAGACCAAGTGGACCTAACAGATATCTAGAGAACTTTTCATCCTGCAGTGGCAGAATGCACATTTTTCTCATCAGTGCATAGAACTTTTTCTAGGATAGATCATATGCTAGGCCACAAAGCAAGTCTCAGCAAATTCAAAAAAATAAAAATAATTCCATGCACCAATAGAACACAAAAAAGGCAATCTGTAGAAGTGAAACTGACACTTTGAGAAACAATGACTTGTTGAACTCTTAATATAGAATTTACCAAATGTGTGTAAAGTTAATTGAAAATAGATATTAGTAAAAAATAAGAGTGGGTATGAGAGTGAGAGGGAGGAGGAAGAGGGGTTGGAATGTGGGTGGGAGGGTGGGAATGGTGGGAAGAATCACCATGTTCCTAAAGTTGTAATTATGAAATGTATTAAGTTTGTAACTGTAAAGCTATATAGTTCTGTATACATTCCTATGGACTTACTTCTAAGGGTACAGTTTAAAAACTTGCCATGGGATGCCAAATCCCCATAAGTAAGGTAGTTAAAAAATGCATTTTAAGTGTTAAAGTAATCATAGAGAGAGGATTAGCTACCCCCACCCTGGTGATGGAGACTGCTTCCTACAGTTACTCTCTCTGTAGTACTTCCTTGTGGTTTTTTCAGCTCTCCAACATCTGTTTACTCGACAAATATTTTATTACTTTTTGAGATACTTTTAATTTATAGTCAAAGGCTTCACTAACTAAAAAGTTCAACAAACAAAAAGTAAAAAAGGCCATAGTCTGACAGGAAAATAGGCAAGGGATATACATAGTACTCAAAAGAAAAAATGTTCAACTTCACTCATATAAATTTTTAAAAGTCAGAAAATCATTAGAACATGTAATTCCTATCAATTTGTCAAACATCTATTTAAAAATTTGTTTTTAACCTCAGAATCAGCCCTTAAGGCATACTGATCTGGCTGAAAAGCCCATGAGAGCATTTCAGGCATGAAAAGCCAAGATACTGTGGCAAAAAATGTCCTACAGAAAGGACCTCTGTGGGTAAGACCCCAGTGGAAAAAAGTGGTCAAAGATAGAGGTACTTTTCTTTGAAGGTAGGAGAGAACTTCTACTTTGCTTATGGCCTTGTCTAAATATTGAAGGATGCAAAAGGCTTTAGTTTGTGGACTCAAAAGGCTTCCACAGCCTAGTTAGCTCATGTCAAGAGCCTTGGGTAATCACTGATGTCATACATAAGAGTGTTAATTGTTAAATTAACAACAGGAGTCACTGTGCACTAACTTCTCATGCAGAACCTTTGTCCTCCAAGAGTTGTATTATGAGAGCTAATAATAAAACTTGTTCTCAAAGATTTACTTTGCTTTAGTGTATTAAGTAGAGGATATTCTTATGTCTCATAAGTTTTATATAAGCCTAAGTGCCCAATGCCATCGCTTGTTTCCTTAGGTACCTCTTCAATTAACGATGATATTTGTTCTCAAAGAAAAAAATAAAAGTATATTATTGCAAAACTTAAAAGAAAAATAAAGAAGCAGAAGGACGGGTGGGAGGGAGGGAAGGAGGGAGGATGGGGTGGGAAGTGTCATTATGTACTTAAAACCATATATATGAGATACATGAAATCTGTTCCATTTATATAAATTAAAAAAATTTTTTAAAAAGGGGGCGGATGTGTAGGCCACTGTGCTACCATGTATGCTACGTGGGTTCCATGTTTGGCTGGGGGTGGAGATTTAACATTATAATGCAGGGGGTTTGGCTTTCTACAGGAGAAAGGTCAAGGTGAGAGTGCGACTACAGCTTGAGCTCAGGCCTCTCCAGCTGGCCACAGCTACAGGGAGACTTACAGCTTTGGTAAGTGTCAGCAGCTGAGCTGCCTTGTGTCTGCAAGAATGCCTGGTGACCCTCACCTTGGCCTCGGTCCTGGTTATCTTCTGCAGGAGGGGGCAGTGTCTCTACTGCGTGCTGGGCAGGCTGAGGACACCCTGCACACACCATTGCATCTTCAGTACTACTTTAAGACAGGCACTGGGTATTCCTGTCTTTTGGAATAAGTGGGTGCTGCAAAGTCATCTGTCCAGCTTTGCACTCAGACTTGGGTCTGTGTGAGTTGGAGGTAGTGACGTAGACCTCATGCCCCCTCCCAGCTTCCCACTGCTTTCCCACAGTCATACTCCAAGGTGGACCTAGAAGGATGTTTAAAATAAAGAAAGGAGCGGCTTGCCCTGTGGCAATGAAGGTTAAGCTACCGCCTGTAGCGCTGGCATCCCATATGGGCACCAGTTCAAGTCCTGGTTGCTCCACTTCCAATATGGCTCCCTGCTAATGCACCTGGGAAAGCAGAATAAGATGGCCCAAGTGCCTGGGCCCCTGCCACCAGTGTGGGAGACCCAAAAGATGCTCCTGGCTTTGGGCCTGGCCCAGCCCCAGCAGTTGTGGCCATTTGGGAAATGAACCAGCAGATGGAAGCTCTCTCTCTCTCTCTCCTCCTCTATTTCTGCCTTTCAAATAAATTAATTAAAAAAACACACAAAAGGAGGCTCAAGTCATCAGGAGCTCTCATACTGCAATGTTTTGGAGGCTTCCTTATTCATACTCTCATCAATTCCCTTGTCAATATCACTTCCTAGCACTATCCTCAGCTTCAATACTTTAAACTTGTCAGAGTCTTCCTTCAGCCATGGAGCAAGTCTTATGCAAGGGTTCAAAAATGAGTGCATTCCACGCTCACAGAAAATGTGTCCATACTTTATTTTCTACTGGAATCCTCCCAGGTGTGCTACAAAGAACCTAAGGGAAGGGCCGGCGTTGTGGCAATGCCAGCATCCTGCATTGGAGCACCATTTCTTTGTTTTTTTTACACTTGTTTATTTTGAAAGTCGGAGTTACAGAGATACAGAGGGAGAGAGGGAGAGAGGGACATATATTCTACCCACTGATTCACTCCCCAAGTGGCTACAACAGCCATGGCTGGGCCAGGCAGAAGCCAGGAGCTTCTTCTGGGTCTCCCATGTGGGTACAGAGGCCCAAGGGCTTGGGCTGTCTTCTGCTGATTTCCCAAGCCATTAGCAAGGAGCTGGATCAGAAATGGAGCAGCTGGGACATGAATGGGTGCCCATATATGGGATGCTGGCGTCACAGGTAGAGACTTTACCTGTACACCACAATGCCAGCCCCCGGACCAACATTTCAAGTCCTGGCTGCACCACTTCCAACCCAGCTCCCTGTTAACACACCTGAGAAAGCAAACAGAGGATAGCCCAAGAGCTTGGGCCCCTTCCATCCTTGTGGGGAACCATTTGGATTTTCTGAGTGCTGGCTTTGCAGCCATTTGGGGAGTGAACCAGCAGATGAAGGATTCTCATTCCCTCTCTCTCTTTCCATCTCCCTCTCCCTCTCCATCTCCCTCTCCCTGTCATTCAGCCTTTCCAATAAATAACTTTTTTTTGAGGAAGAGAACCTAGGGTGAAGACTGGCTGGCACTGCAGGTTTCCCAGCAGAAGCTTCGCCACTGCTCCCTTTTGCTGTGGACAGAGCAGCTGAGGACCTCCTCAGGCAATCACAAGCCTACGAAGAGAGAGCACCTGCGCCCCTGCTCTGCCACAGCGTGTGTTTCATTGTCTTGTGCACCATCTAGGATGAGGACGTTCACAGACAGGCAGCAGGTTCTCTGGCCAGGCTGTTTGGAGTACGTGACCAGGAGGCTACTGTGTGTGAATGCAGTACTCTCTGCACACACAGAGGTTGCTCCTCCAGCTCCTACCTATTGTCTGTAAATGCACAGAATCTTCTCGTTGCATTGTGGGTGAGGGAAGGAAGGGCAGTCCTCTTCCTGGGGCACCTTCAACCTCAGGCTCCTAAAACAGGAGAGGACGCAGCAAGAATGTGCTTGAAGACAACTTTTCTTCAGTGCATTGGTTTCAGCAAAGCTGCCATCCAGTTCACGTGCTGCGTTTTAGACAAGCTATTGTCTTTCTCCCCAAAAGCCTCGGCTGTAGGGAATCCGACGACTTGGTGTTAGAGGGAGGTGAACACAAGTCCTCAAGAAGAAAATACAAGTTTCAGCATGACCTGAGACCAAGATGTCTCTTGGGTCATGAAATTATTACGGACGGAAGCTTCTTTAGATGTTTCAAATTATTTCACCTGAGTTCCCTTCACCAAAGCAGGAAACAGGTTTGAAAATGAGCAACTGATGGGACAATAATTTTAATGTCAACTCTTGCTCCTGTAATGTTTCTTCTTACCAATTTGTTTTTAATAGCAATACCAGATTTAACTAAATTGAAGTCTAAATATTAAAAATACTGCCAACTGGCCGGCGCCGCGGCTCACTAAGCTAATCCTCCACCTTGCAGCGCCGGCACACGGGGTTCTAGCCCCGGTCGGGGCGCCGGATTCTGTCCCGGTTGCCCCTCTTCCAGGCCAGCTCTCTGCTGTGGCCAGGGAGTGCAGTGGAGGATGGCCCAGGTGCTTGGGCCCTGCACCCCATGGGAGACCAGAAGTACTTGGCTCCTGCCATCAGATAAGTGCAGTGTGCCGGCCGCAGCGCGCTGGCCATGGCGGCCATTGGAGGGTGAACCAACGAGAAAAAGGAAGACCTTTCTCTCTGTCTCTCTCTCTCTCTCACTATCTACTCTACCTGTCAAAAAAAAATACTGCCAAATATAATTCCAACATGAATGTAAAATGAATTCAAATTTGGGGGGGGGGGTGCAGTGTTGTGGCATAATAGATTAAGCTGCTGCCTGCAACACCAACAACCCATATGAGCTCTAGTTTGAATCCTGGCTGCTCCACTTCCAATCTGGCTCCCTGGGCCCTTGGATGGAGTTTCGGGCTCCAGGCTCAGCTCCAGCCATAGCAGCCATTTGGGAAATGAACTAGTGGATGGGGGCCGGTGCTGTGGCATAGTGGATTAAGTACCAGCATCCCATATGAGTGCTGGTTCAAGTCTCAGTTGTTCCACTTCTGATCCAGCGCTCTGCTTATGTCCTGGGAAAGCAGAAGATGGCTCGGATCCATGGGACCCTGAACACATGTGGGGGTCCTAGAAGAAGCTCCCGGCTCCTGATCAGGCCAGCTTTGGCTGTTGCAGCTATCTGGGGAGTGGGCCAGTGGATGGAAGACCTCTTTCTCTCTCTGCCTTTCAAATAAATTAAAAATCCTTAAAATATATATATATACTTTTAAAAAAAAGAGGAACTAGTAGATGAAAGATCTCTCTCTCATCTCTCCCTCTTGCTCTGTAACTCTGCCTTTTAAATAAATAAATAAATAAATAAATAAGTAAATCTTTTTTAAAAAAACCCAAAAAGCCAAATATTAGGGATGTTATAAAGTGGGGGGACAAATGTGTGTTTGAGAACAAATGGAAAAGGGTACTAAGAAGATAGCTAATGGTGTGCCCTCACATCAGTTTGCTGCTTCTTTTCCACTACTTTCTTCGCCTCTGTACCTGTGTGTTAGAGAAACTTTCCAGCCAGAGGCCAGGTACTGTCCCGATATTGATTGAGGCAGTGACCATCCTCAATCAATAGGCCACCTATTTTAAAAATATATTCATACTTATGAAATCATCAGCTGGTACAGGTTATTCCCTCTTAGCTCTTGCTAAGCACAAACAGCTATTTTTAAAATATTTTTATTTATTTGAAAGAGACACAGGCAGATACCAAGATATCTTCCACCTGCTGGTTCACTCCTCAAATGCCTGCAGCGGCTGGGGCTGGGGCTGGGGCTGGGCCACGCCATAGCCAGGAACCAGAAATCCAATCCAGGTCTCCCCTGTGGATGGCAGTGATGTCACTGCTTAAGCCATGGCGGCCTGCCAGGGTGTGTATTAGCAGGAACCTGGATAGGAAGTGGAGCCGGGATTTGAACAGGGGATGCATGCATCCCAAGCAGGATCTTAACCACGGCAGCAAAGGCCCACCCCACAGACGGCCTCTCATGGGGTAGGGCAGCATGATGAGGAAAGCCAGAGCCTCCACTCTCACCTCTTCACCGCCTGCACATCCATGCTTGCTTTCTTTAGCTCTGCCGTCACTTGGAGTTTGTTAATGGTTTCTTGTGCTGCACTGGAAAGTAACAGACATTTGTTAGTTTCCTTTTGCGTTTGTTTTGAGAAATTTTAAAAGGAGGCAAAACCAAAAAGAGGACTGGAGGGGGTCAGCGTGAAGAAACTAACATTTTAAGAGCTTCTACCGATCTCTGATCGTTTTCTCGAAGGAATTCCTCAAAGGCCATGGCGTCATTTTGGAGCTTTTTTTCTGCTTTCACCAGTTGCCCTTCCTTCGTTGCTATGTGCTTTTCAAACTTCTCAATTGTGTTTCTTTTGGTTAACAGAGCGTACTAGGAATATTGAAAACAAAAGTGCATCAAAAACATTGCTGCACATTGCAACACTGTCGTGAGAGGAAAACACTGCACAGCTGGTGATCACTTGTATGAGAAATAATAGGATGCCCAAATAAATCTTGGGCAATGACCTTGATTTCAGGATGGAATTGGAAAAGGACAAATCAACGCCACACATTGAAAGTACACGATTTGTGAAGTCTTGAGATATGTATACTCTTGGAAATCCTCACCACTATGAAAATAATGAAAATACCCTCAGATCACCCCATAGAATTTCCTGAGCCATTGCACCCCTCTTTTCCTCCCTCCTTGCCAGCTCCTTCCCTAGGCAACCAAGGACCTGCTTTCCGTCACCACAGGCTGGGTGGCATTTTCTAGAATTTTACGTAAGTGAAAGCATGGATGAACTAGTTTTCTGTCTGGCTTTTAAACTTAGCACAATTATTTTGAGACTCACCCATGCTATTGCAAAAATCCATAATTGATTCTCTTTTATTGCTGAATAACACTCAGTTTTTAAGAAACACCAAGGTTTGTTTCCCAGTTGAGTTTGGACATTTGAGTTGTTTTCTGCTTTGGGCTACTTCTCCCCCCCCCCTTTTTTTAATTTGAGTTTGGACATTTGAGTTGTTTTCTGTTTTGGGCTACTTCTCCCCCCCCCCCTTTTTTTTTTTATAAGATTCCTATTATTTCTCTGAAAGGCAGAGTTACAAAGAGAGACAGAGATAGAGGTCTTCCATCTGCTGGGTCACTCCCCAAATGTCTGCAATAGCCTTGGCTGGGCCAGGCTGAAACCAGGAGCCAGAACACTCCATCTGCATCTCCCACATGGGTGGCAGGGACCCGAGGACTAGGGCCATCCTTCGCTGCTTTCCCAGGCAAACTAGCAGGAGCTGGATGTTGGAAGCGGAGCAGCTGGGACTCAAGCAGGCACCCATATGGATGCCACTGTTGCAGGCAGCAGCTTAACCTGCTGTGCCACAAGGCTGGCCCCTGTTTTGGGCTACTGCTCATAAAGTTGCTATGAACATGTATGCTTTCATTTGTCTTGGGTAAATACTGAGGAGTGGAAAAGCTATGAATAAAAAACTGTTTTTAAGCTCTGACCCAAGAGGCTTTGTCATCTTCAGTGCAGAACTTCAAAAAGTTCTTATAAAAATGGAATTAAAAGTCAGTTTATTTTGTTGCAAAAATATTTTGAAATCTATACATACTTTTTCATAATATGTATTTTTCATGAACTTTGAGGGTTTCTTGTGCATGTTTTATAAATTTATCCATATTTCATATTTTTTATGTTCTTGGACATGACCTTGTTTTTTAAATTTCAATTTCTTATATTTTAATGAAATGTTATAAAAATACAAGTAATTTTTGTAAACTGACTATTATTCTGCAACACTGGTAAACTTTGTACTCTCTGATTATTAATAGCTTTCTAAGAGATTTCTTAGGATTTTCTATAAAGATTATCATATTGTTTGTAAATGAGGATAGTTTTAATATTTCCTTTCCAATACTCATTTTGTTTACTTATCTTGTTGCACTGTCTAGGGCTTCCAGAACAATGAAGACTAGAAGTGGTAGATCCTCACCTGGTTCCTATCTTGGGGAGGAAAGCATCCAGTCTTTTACCAGCAAGTATATGATGTTAGTTTCTAGAAAATACCCTTCTATGTAGCTTAGAAAATTCCCTTCTGCTCTTGCTTTGCTGAGATTTTCTATCAAGAATGAGACTGGGGGTGCCAGCACTATGGCCCAGCAGATTAAGCTGCTGTCTGCAGCACTGATATCCCATATGGGTGCTGGTTCAAGTCCTGGCTACTCCACTTCTGATCTAGCTCTCCGCTAATGCACCTGGTAGAGCAGTGAAAGATGGCCCTAGTACCTGGGCCCTTGCACTCATGTTGGAGACCTGAATGAAGCTCCTGGCTACTGGTTTCGACCTGGCCCAGCCCTTGGTGAGAGCAAACATTTCAGGAGTGGACGAGCAGATGGATGATCTCTCTCCTCCCTCACCCTCCTTCACCCTCTTTCCCCCTCTCTCCCCCTTTCTCTCTCTCTCTCCCTCTCTCCCTCTCTCTCTGTCTCTGACTCTCCCTCTCTCTCTAACTCTGCTTTTCAAATAAATAAAAAAGTCTTTTTTCCCCAAGTTTTTTAATCCATTCAACCAGACTGTATCTTTAATTGGAGAATTTAGGTCACTTACATTCAAGGTTACTATTGATAAGTAACAACTTGGCCATGATTAAAAGAAAAAAAAAGACCCATCTATTTGTTACCTTCAAGAAAACACCTCACCAACAAAGACACACACAGACTGAAAGTCAAAGGATGGAAAAAGATATTCCATGCTAATGGAAAGCAAAAAAGGGCACAAGTAGCCATCCTAGTATCAGACAAAATAGACTTTAACACAAAAACTATTAAAAAAGATAAAGAGCACTATGTAATGATTAAGGGATCAATTCAACAGAAATAAAAAGAATCATCAGAAATTACTACAAAGAGCTGTATGCCAACAAATTGGAAAAATCTCAAAGAAATGGATAGATTCCTGGACACATACAATCTACCAAAATTGAATCATGAAGACATAGAAAACCTAAACAGACCAATAACCAAGATATAGACTGAATCAGTAATAAAGACCCTCCCAAGAATGAAAAGCCCAGGACTGGATGGCTTCATTACTAAATTCTACCAGACATCTAGAAAAGAACTAAGTACAATTCTTCTCAAGCTATTCAAAACAATTGAAGGGGAGGGAGTCCTCCCAAACTCCTTCTATGAAGCCTGTATCACCTTAATTCCTAAACCAGAAAAAGATAAAACAGAGAAAGAGAACTAATTTCCCTGAAGAACACAGATGCAGAAATACTCAACAAAATACTAGCTAGTCAAATCCAACAACACATCGGAAAGATCGTTCACCCAGACCAAGTGAGATTTATCTCTGGGATGCAGGGATGGTTCAACAATTGCAAATCAATCAATGGGATCCATCATATTAACAAACTGAAGCACAGGGGCCAGTGCTGTGGTGTAGCAGGTAAAGCTGCTGCCTGCAGTGATGGCATCCCATATGGGTGATGCTTCAAGTCCCGGCTGCTCCACTTCCAATCCAGCTCTCTGCTGTGGCCTGGGAAAGAAGCAGAAGATGGCCCAAGTCCTTGGGCCCCTGCACCCACATGGGAGACCCGGAAGAAGCTCGTAGCTCCTTTTTCGGATAGGCGCAGCTCCAGCCATTGCAGCCAACTGGGGAGTGAACCAGCAGCTAGAAGACCTCTCTCTCTCTCTCTCTCTCTCTCTCTCTCTCTGCTTCTCCTTCTCTCTGTGTAACTGACTTTCAAACAAATAAATAAATCTTTAAAAAAAACCTGAAGCACAAAAACCATATGATTATTTCAATAGATGCAGAGAAAACATTTGATAAAAATATAACATCTTTTAATGATGAAAACCTTAGGCAACTGGGTATAGAAGGAATATTCCTTAACACAATTAAGGCAATTTAAGACAAACCCACAGCCAGCATCCTATTGAATGGGGGAAAGTTGGAAGCATTCCTACTTCCTACTAAGATCCAGAATCAGACAAGGATGCCCACTCTCACCACTGCTTTTCAACATATTCCTGAAAGTTTTAGCCAGAGCCATTAGGTGAGAAAAAGAAATCAAGGGAATGCAAACTGGAAAGGAAAAAGTCAAATTATCCTTATTTGCAGAAGACATGATTCTATATATAGGGGATCCAGAAGACTCCACTAATAGACTATTGGAATTAATAAAAGAGTTTGGTAAAGCAGCAGGATATAAAATTAACACACAAAAATCAATAGCTTTTGCATACACAGACAATGCCACAGCTGGGAAAGAACTAAGATGAACCCATTCACAACAGCTACAAAAAAAATTAAATACCTTGGAATAAATTTAACCAAGTATGTCAAAGATCTCAAAGATGAAAATTACAAAACATTAAACAAAGAAATAGAAGACACAAAAAAATGGAAAAACCTTCCATGTTCATGCACTGAAAGAATATCATCAAAATGTCCACACTACCAAAAGCAACTTACAGAGTCAATGTGATCCCAATCAAAATACCAAGTACATTTTTCTCAGATATAGAAAAAAAAATGATGCTAAAGTTCATATGGAAACACAAGAGACCCTGAAAAGCTAAAGCAATCTTATGCCACAAAAACAAAGCTAATGCATCACAATACCAAATTCCATGACATACTACAGGGCAGTTATAATCCAAACAGCCTGGTATTGCAATAAAAATTGATGTGTAGACCGATGGAACAGAATAGAAACTCCAGAAATCAACCCACACATCTACAACCAACTTCTCCTTGACAAAAAAGCTAAAATCAATCCCAGGAGAAAGGACAGTCTCTTCAACAAATGGTGCAAGGGAAACTGGATCTGCACACGCAGAAGTATGAAGCAGGACCCCTACCTTACACCTTATACAAAAATGCACTTAAAATGCATCAGGGACCTAAATCTATGGCCCAACAACATCAAATTATTGGAGATCACTGGAGAAACTGCAAGCCATTAGCATACACAAAGAGTTCTTGAAAGAGACCCCAGAAGCACAGGCAATCAAAGCCAAAATTGACAAATGGGATTACATCAAGCTGAGAAGATTCCTCACTGCAAAAGAAACACATAGCAAAGGGGCAACCAACAGAATGGGAGAAAATATTTGCAAACTATGAAACTGGTAAAGGATTAACACTCAGAATCTACAAAGAGCTCAAGAAACTCAACAACAAAACAATTCAGTTAAGAAATGAGCAAAGGATGTGAACAAGCATTTTTTAAAAGAGAAAATTCAAATGGCCAACAGACACATGAAAAAATGCTCAGGATCACTAGTTGTCAGGAAAATGCAAATCAAAACCACAATGAGATTTCACTTCACTCCAGTTAAAATGCTTCTCATACAGAAATCAACAAACAATAAATGCTGGT